TTTTATTTGAAAAGTTTACAAAGTAAAAACGTTATTTTGTTATATAAAATTTTGAATTTTATGAATTTCGAGGGAGGTTTTGTGAAATCATAGTGTGTAACATCCGTATTGAACCCCCCTAACCCCTAGCAAATTGAATATCCACCATGCAATAAACTAATTTTCGTATTTGGTTAGACCCTACGTGCCAACACTATACTGTACTACAAAAAATTGGACAATTTTGAAATAGATCATCAAAGATGAGTAGTTCTGATAGTGGAGACGTTGAAACAGACATCGTGACCTCTGAGAGCAGAAAAACTGAATTTAACGGGTTTTTAAAGACTCTGTCCACATTTACTGGAGATATTTATAGTTTGACATGTCCAAGTTTCTTATTATCTGGTGTTTCCACTCTAGAATATGGGTAGGAAGAACTATATAGCTTATCATCATTATTCAACAAATCACAATAATAAAATATATAAAATAACTTCCATCAAATTAATAATGCATGTATGTATAGACAATATTGGGCAGATTATCCAGAACTTTTTGCCGATATTTCTAAACCAAGTATAGAAGTTGACAGGGCTATTAATGTTTTCAGATGGTATGTAAGCACATTGTACGGATCATTTTCTTCACGTAAAGATAAAGAAAAAATTGAGAAGAAGCCATTTAATCCTATACTTGGTAAGGTAATATTTTTATTATTATATTTTTTTTTCCCATTGAAATCTTTTTGTTTTTAACTTTAATTCTGAACCTATTTAATAATAATAAATAATAACAAACAAGGCGAACAATTTTTTGCAAAATGGAATGATATAAATGGATGTGGCGAAACTAGTTTGTTTTCAGAACAAGTTAGTCATCATCCACCTGTTTCAGCCTTTTATTTAGAAAATAAAAAGGCTGGAGTGTCAGCAAATGGTCATAGTATGTAATTCATATATGAAATATACATGAGTAAAACATTCTTTCTGGTTTTCTAATATTCAATATTTTGATTATCAAATAAAAAAGCTGGACAAAAAAGTCAATTCAGACCTACTGCAGCACGTATTGATGTAATACAAGTTGGACATATACTAATTCGTCTAAGAGATCACCCTGAACATTATTTGATAACTCTTCCATCTTTACAAATTCTTGGATTATGGAGAGGTGCACCATATGTAGAATTAAGGTATTATAATTAATCACAATTATACGTTCTTCTTATATTTACAAAGCATGGTTGATAAAAAACAAGTAAAGAACATATACTTGGTTATTAACCACACTTAATTATACTTGTACGCTCACCACATTAATACATTTCACTATATACTTGCGTATAGTGGAACAAGTGTAATACAATCAGAAAATTATAAGATCATTATTGAGTTTAGCGGGAAGGGATGGCTATCAGGTGAAAAGCATAGCTTTAATGGAGTAGTGCGTCGTAATGGATCCAAAGAACCATTATATGTAGCAACAGGCACATGGTCAGGTCGATCTAGTTTAGAGAAAGTGGACACAAAAGAAAAATCAACGTTTCTCGATGTTGAAAATTCTAAAAGAGCAACTCCGATCGTAGCTCCAATAGACGAGCAAGGTGATTTAGAAAGTAGGAAATTATGGAGATATGTAGCTAAAGCTATAAATGAAGGTGATTTTGCTACTGCTTCAAAATTAAAGGTAAGTAGGGGAAAAATTACGTTTATATTGTTATACATAATAATAATAATAATAATAATTTTTTATTATTCTGTTAGAGTGAGATTGAACAAAGACAACGTGATAAAGTTAAAAATGGAGTTAAAGTCGAGCTTCAATATTTTGAATGGAATGACAATGACCAATTGTTTTTTAGTTTAGACAAATTGATTGATAATAAATATCAATTGGACGATAAATATAAAGAAAAGGGTAATTGGTTTTATAAAAAATGACAATTATGGTGATGACGACAATGATGATTTATATAATATTTATAAATTACAATCGAATTAATAATGTAATAATAATAATAATAATCAATAATGTTTGGATGATAAAATAAAAAGATGACACTCTATATGTAACTTGTTACAGCAATTTGTTCACAATATTTTAATTTCCCATAGTTGTAATAAATTTAATTGGTATATACATCAAGAAGATAAATTAAGCCGACGCATCTCAAACAGTTAATTTGTTGCTTGATGTTTTTAATGTATTAGCCTAATGTTAACACTTTTGCTATACTTTCCAGGCCAGCCAAACATGGAAAAATAATACTTTGCATATTATTGTTGATAATTTCACAATTATAATATTCCTAACTAGATTATTAAGAACACAACCTTACTCCTTCGTAATCTTAAACCAAGCTCTAAAAAAGGGAAAAAATCGAAATTTGATTTTTTCTCATTCTAAACAAAGATGCACATGGATCTTCGCTTGTAGTCACACTAAATTTCATCATTCACCATTTGTTCGCTAATCAACACAATGGTTTTATAACCTCAACTGCTACACTACTCTTATCGTCTCTTCATTATTGATTGTCATTGTTAAAATTATCGCCAATTTAGAGCTACAAATAAGTTAAGACTTTTCGTCCGTGTCAATTTGAAATTTATTAATACTTTTGCACCCTGGTGCGGGTCCTGTATTCACGGTATCCGTGAACCGATCACGTGTATAAATTCCGGTTATGGGTCTGGTAACGCTATTACTATTACTTTTTTTTTTCTGAATATTGTACTTACTATGGTTTGTTTATATTGTACAATATTTTTGGTTAAATACAAACCTTCATAATCATGAATTTAATTAGTATTTTGCAAAATGAACCTTAATAGGATAGTTCTTATAATTTACCCGATACCCGATTAATGTATTACTAATATTACTAAAACCAATTTATTCAGCACATCGGAAAAATATCTTACCGATTTTCTTGACAAACACACGCGAATTTATTTCGTCTGTTTATTTTACACAATGAAAAAAAAGTTATTTAATGGCAAAAGTTTTTTTTTATTCGAAAAAAAATTATTGAAAATAAAAATAAAAATTAGTATATTAATATAATTAAAAAAAAATGTCATCAAACGAAAAAAATCTTTCGGAAGAACTTGTTCATGAACCATTAAGTAATAATACAACTTCTAGCACCATGAATGATACAAATAACATTGTTATAATAGACGATAATAATAAATTAAATGAAGCGATCCGTGATATAAAAGGTGATCCAGAAGCTAACAAAGACGAAAAAATAATATTATCGGGTTTAAAATTGGCATTAGTTATGATTGGGTATTTATCTTATCATATCATTATCTTTATTATCCGCACACATTGCGCATATGTTTAAAATATTGATTAACATCAATATCATTATTATTCACTTGCACTTTCTGCATATTTATAAAAAAAAAAATTAGTCTAGCGTTTGCGGTATTTTTAGCAGCTTTAGATCAAACAATTGTTTCGACAGCATTACCTGCAATAGCTTCAGAATTTAAAGCATTAGATCAAATCGCTTGGGTTGCAACAGCTTATCTACTAACAATGGTAATGGTTTTATCACATTATTAAATATCAAAGAGTTAATTAATAATTACATCTGTGTGCTCTTATTAGACTGCTCTTCAAACAACTTATGGAAAACTTTCAGACATTTTTGGTCGTAAATCAACGTTTTTATTTTCAATAATAATATTTGAGATTGCCAGTTTATTGTGTGGATTGGCGCCAAATATGGTTGGTTGATTCAGTTATACTATATAAAAAAAAATTGTATATGTGCTAATAAACATTGCTAATTGGTTAGGAAGCAATGATAATATTTCGTGCACTTGGTGGAATTGGTGGTGGTGGTATTATAAGGTTTAGAAAATTTATTTACTGATAAATTTCAATGATCAATTAAATCTTTCTAATTTCTTTCTCGCATATTTAGTCTTGTCATAATAATTATTTCTGAAATTGTTCCAACACAAGATCGTGGTAAATATCAAGGATTGATTGGTGCATGTTTTGGTATTGCTTCCGTTGTTGGTCCTTTGTTAGGAGGTGCTTTTACGGACCACGTGACTTGGAGGTATGTTGTATGTTTGCATCTATTTACATAATATACACTTAACCAATAATAATAAAATGCTATTTGTTAGGTGGGCATTTTATATTAACTTACCACTTGGAGTTATAACAATTGTAACTGTTGTAGCATTTTTGAAGTTACCAGGACCAACCGGATCATTACTAGCCAAATTAAAAAGAGTCGATTATTATGGCACAGTGATGATAATGGTTGCTACAATTTTACTATTATTGTCATTGAGTTGGGGTGGTAGTCAATATGCTTGGAATTCTGCTATAATAATATCGCTATTATGTGTTGGGGCTTTATGTTTTATTGCTTTTGGATTAATCGAATCGAAGATTGCACTTGAACCTGTTGCACCACGTAAGTCTTTATTTATTTTAAAAATTTTTTTTTTTAATTACAAATAAAATACTAAAATTTTATTATAGCCCATTTATTTAAGAACTTAAATATTGTTGCAAGCTTTGCAGTAAATTTCTTTCATGGAATGGTATTTTTTGGCTTTATATATTATGTTCCGCTTTATTTCCAAATTGTAAAGGGTGAATCAGGTAAATTGTCAATTCATTTATTCTTTGATAACTTTCTTTAATCATTTATTTTAATGGGAAAATCTCCATTAAATTTTTTATAATTATATATATAGCTACTGCATCAGGGTTAGAATTACTTCCTTATATATTAGGAGTTGTGTTTGCATCTATAACGATAGGACAATTAGTATCACGAACAAACGTATTTTCTTTTAGAACAATTTGTATGTTTGGAGCTGTCTTGATTATTGTAGGATCAGGATTAATTACTACATGGACAGAAACTACTGAACGTGGACCACAAATTGGATATATGTTAATTGCTGGTTTTGGCGTTGGATCAATTATACAAACTACAATATTATTTGGTCAACAGGTTGTATCTATAAAAGATTTAGCACCCACTACTGCTTTATTGTTATTCTTTAGATTTATTGGAGCTGTATTTGGTGTAGCAGTTATTGGTACAATATTTCAAAATAAATTGGAGGAAAACGTTGATGCACTTAATTTGCCACCAGATGTTCCAGTAGATTTAATAAAACGATCTGTTGAATTTATCTTACATTTACCTGATCCAATACGAGGACTGGTAATAAGTGCTTATGTCAGAGCATTACATGTAGCTTTTATCGCAATTGTACCACTTGGTGGTGCTATACTTATTTCTTCCTCATTTTTGGGAGGTCATAAACCGATAATAAGTGATGGTAAACTTGGTGAAATGGCTCTTTAAATAAATACATTTATGAATTAATTAAGCTTTAAAGAATGAATTTTTCTTTTTAATTAAAATAAAAAATTCGTTTATTAATATTCGACTTTAACAAATAAAAAAATTATTAGACACTTAGAGTACATATTGCCTGAACCAATTATTAAATAACAACACTAACTTTTTTTTTAATGCATACAGTCGGCGCTCGATATAGCGAAGTTTTGGCTAGTACAAATTTGGAAATTATCTGCGTTAATATCCAATAAAATTCAATTTTTCTGAAGATAGTCTTCAAATTTGTACTTTACTTATTTCGAGCGCCAACTGTATGCATTAAAAATTTGTCCATAGCTTTCAAAATGGACAAATATAACTGGGGTTTGCTGCGGAATATCATTTCATTTACAATTGTGCGGTGTCCTCAAATAGCCGTCAAAGTGAGATAAATGAAATCAATCATTTTGAAACTGTGTGTGATAAAAGAAGAGCGTTCTGAAGGCTAGAATTTGGTTATTTTAAATTTTTAAAATCATTTTACATTGGGTTATTATTATTTGAAAAATAAATCGATTCACATTTATAAATTTAAAATAAAAGCAATTGGATATACATATAATTCCGTGGTTAATACTAGCCTGAATGCTGATTGATTTTAAATAACTAATTATTTGAATGATATCCGATTAATTAAATGAAGCTCAATCGGGTATTCACTATAGCAAATCGATCGAAAAAAGGATCGATTTATTACTAAATGAGAATATTTTAATCATTAGTAAACCAAAAGGTATCCGATTTTGAAATTGATGTCAATTATTTTACTGAATGACGCCATAAATCGACACCAATCGACATGTTGCAACAACCTATCTATTATATAAATAAATATCATTCGGATAGCTATTCTAATTCGGATGATTTGACATCGTTCTATTATCTAGTTGTTAAAAATAATATATAGTTATATAATCAAGTTTTTTTTTATTTTAATTGAAAAGAAATTACATTTTGCATTGAAAATAATTAATTTATGTCTTTATTTTAAAACCTATTAAAAAAAAGAATTAGAAAATGTGATTTTTTTTAAAAAAAAAATCAATACTAATCAATAAATTTATACACATACTTTGAAAATTTCTTGGAACCTTTCTGTACTTGCTTTTGAACCTTGAGAACATTAAAGCGAACAGTCTTGGAAAGAGGACTAATATTGAATAATAATAATTGAAGAGATTGAGATCGGGATTTGTTTGATTTAATAAAGAGTCTAAACATCAAAGAAACACATATATATAAATCAAAAGGGATTATTATTACATACCGGCATTGACCAACAGTGACCGTATCCCCAGACTAAATTTAAAGTAGTGGGGGGAATTATGATGAATCTCAACGATCAAAATTTCAAAATTTCAAAATTCAGGTATTCAAATAAAACCACTTACTTGAACACCAATAAATGCAGGTGACAAATGAGCTGCCACATTTTTATGCCGTTTTTCATAACGGTTATACTTTGTAATGTAATGAAGATACTCCCTACGAACAATAATGGTTCTCTTCATTTTTGCAGACACAACAACTCCTGACAAGATTCTACCACGAATAGAAACCATTCCTGTCCAAGGACATTTCTTATCTATATAAGTTCCTTCGATGGCTTCTTTTGGAGTTTTAATACCTAATCCAACATCTTTATACCATCTACCGCTCTTTTTCTTGCCTTTTTTGGTCGTGATTTTTGAATTTTGAAAGATTCCTTGTTTTTGATATGCTTTTTCAACCTGTCAGTTATAAAGAATTGATTTTAATTGCTTCGCCTAAAAGATTGACTGGTTTTTAAAAGCGAATAAATATAAATTTTATTTTTTAACCTGTTCAGCAGACATTTTTTAAACGTTTTAAATAATAAATCTTGAAAAAAAGATAAATAAAAAAATTTTTTTTCAAAATTAACATAATCAATCACTGGTTGGTTGTACGTGCAAATTTTTTTAGATTTTTCAAAAATAATAAATTACAAATGGTAAAAATTCAATATATATATATATATAAAGTTCATTCTAAATATTATTATATTAAATTCAAATTTTTTTTTTGTTTTTAGAGACCAATATTACTACAAGGACACACTCGTTCTCTTACTCAAATAAAATATAACAAAGAAGGTGATCTATTGTTCAGCGTATCCAAAGATCATGTTGTTAATGCATGGTTTTCTCATAATGGTGAACGGTTAGGAACTTATAACGGTCACGTTGGTGCAATTTGGTCTGTTGACGTTAATTGTATCTTTTTTTCCGGGGAAATTTTTGAAAAATAACTATGATTTTTTAAAAATAAAAATTATATGTTATGACTTAACATCATTGATTTTTTTTTCGAATAGCTACCAATACACTTCTTTTAACAGGATCAGCAGATAACACTGCAAAACTTTGGGACGTTCAAACTGGAAAATGTTTACATACATGGGAATTTAAAACAGCTGTTAAATGTGTAGCGTTTTCAGAAGATGATGCTATGGCACTTGCTATAACTGAACAAAGAATGGGATATTCTGGATCGATTGTAATTTTAGCAATTGTTAATGATGTTGAAGCAAAACGTAAATTTAAAGGCTTGATAAAAATTTTAGAAATTTAACAATTCATCTAATTAATTAATTGTGTTTAACTTTTCTTTTTTCCAATAATAATAGAATCTGACGAACCAATTAAAATCATAAATCCTGAAGGATCAAAGGCGATGGCGGCAACTTGGGGATATCTTAATAGATATATAATAACTGGTCATGAAAATGGTGCCGTTTCTCAATATGATTGGAAGGTTAGTTGTTGTAGCGAGTGGTATTGCTATTTTTTTTTTTTTTTTTTTGAAAAAAATGGGGTTTGATTTTATATTTAGATTTATAAAATTGGAAATGTTTATTTAATCAGACTGGCGAACAATTAAAAACAGTTCATCCACACACAGCCGAAATAACCGATCTTCAGATGTCAAATGATCGCACTTATTTCATCACATCGTCCAAAGACAAATCAGCACAAATTTTTGAATCAAATACACTAAGTCCTTTAAAAAAATATTCCACCGATGTACCGCTTAACTCTGCAGCAATAACACCTGTTCAAGAATTTGTTATTCTTGGTGGTGGACAAGATGCCATGCAAGTTACTACAACCACCTTGAGGCAAGGAAAATTCGAATGTAGATTTTGGCATAAAATCCTAGAAGAAGAAGTTGGAAGGGTGAAAGGTCATTTTGGACCTATTAATACTATTGCTGTACATCCAGACGGGAAAAGTTTTTCATCAGGCGGTGAAGATGGTTATGTTCGTGTACATCATTTTGATGAGGAATATTTCAAATTTAAATATCCAGAATTATAAACATCAAAATAAAATAATTTAAAAATTAAAAACTTTAAATTTTATTTATTGTCCCTGTTTTATTCCTTGGTTTTTGTTTAATCATCATCACATTAATCAAATCTTTTCCAGCGCCTCCATTATCACTACCGAATTACCACGAATGACCTATTAAATCATATAATTTATTCAATAAATGTGATATATATATACACACCTTAAACGCACATCACGCATGCATATATAATACTTACCACCATTCCAATATTATGTTTTTCTGTTGCTGATACTTCTTCGACTGTATTATCCAATACTAAATTCATAAAAGGATCATACCCACGAAGAATACCTGTTACTTTGCGTCCTCCATTAAGCTGGATAAATAAGCGTTTTTCCATATATCTAAAATAATTGAATTGAATTTTAATGAAGAGGAAAAAAATACGTCATATATATAATTTATATATATTTATATACTTTTTAAGTTCTGGTTGTGATGCTTTTGACATTTTTACTTTATATAAATGTTTGTTTAAAAAAACTTTTATCAGCTACAGTTGTACAGAGATCTACAAGTCGCAAGAATTAAAATATTGTAACACGGGAATTTCTCATCAGTGGTGATTGTCACCACCTAAGGAATTATACAATTTATGATTAACCCAACCCTAACTCCGCCCCACGCAAATTTAATTCCTTAGGTGGTGACAATCACCACCGGTGAGAAATAGCAATTCTCTTTTTTAGTAATAATATTTTAGTAATAATATTCAAAAATTAAAGAATGATCTACAAAAATAATTAATATATAGTAATAGTAATAGTTTTTATTATTATAGCGTAACAATAGACAAATTTAATTGACGACAAACAACTTGGGAAAAAGAAAATAATAATTGATGACAAACAACATTTATTATTATTTATTTATTATTATTATTTTAATAAACTACAACATATTAATCAAGGTCCATAATTTTACTACTATTACCACCACCATTATTATTATCATGTTGTTGTTATCGTTGTCATTGTCATCATTGTCATTGTCATCATTACCATTGTCATCATCACCGTTGTCGCTGTTGTCACCATTATTATTATTATCATCACTATTACTATTACTATCATCATAGTGATCATTATTATCTCCACCACCAACCCTCCCTAAGTGCACCCTCCCTAAATGCACGCACTATGTATACCCTCCATAAATGCACGGCCCATCTCATCCCCAAGCTTATAGAGAGCTTATAAAATCACCCTCCATAAATGCACACCCTCCATAAATGCACGCTCACAAGAAATAGCACTATGTTCCCAAGGGGGGTGCACTTATAGAAGGTTCACTGTATTATCAAGAAGACCACCACCACCACCACCACGAACCACGTAACTATTAATAAAAATATTGTCCTGAGCAAAGTTATGAAAATTATAACGAACCACTGTTTGTGGTTGAGTTTGTTGTTGTTGTTGTGGTTGCTGATTTTGTTGTTGCTGATTTTGTTGTTGGATGGTCGAGAATTATTATTATTATTATTGCGATTATGATAAGGATTAGCTCTTCTGGTTGAACGTTGTCTTCGTTTCATTTTTTTTAATAATAATACTATCACAAAGACTTAAACTGACCTCAGTGACCAGAAAGCATCAACTAAAATTAATAATACATGCATGAGTTTATTATTATTAGATAACTGTTTTTTGATATTAAAATTGATAATAATAAATTTTTTATACCAAAATGCCTCCGAGTGGCAATAACCACCACCATTCTTATGATAAACATTTTCTCAGCGATCTCCGGATATATTTTCTTTTTTTTCTTCCAGACATTTTTTTTTAAAAACAATATTCGATCGACAAACGCGTACACATTAATTATTTATGTAACCCCCCTACTGGTTTTTTTGTTGACGTGATTGATTTCTCTTGGAAAAACAAATGTGATGTGTTAATAATAGAGGTGCTATTTTTTATCTGTATTGCCATTTTTATTTAGTTATTATAAATATTTTAATTGGAATCAAAACGCAGAGCAGATCTTGCTGGGTAATTATATGATCCTCAAGGTGATAAACGATTGATATTTTGCTTTGCGTAATCGCTAATAATATTATTATTAATATTATAATTACAAGATGTCAAGAAAAAGAGTAATTCAAGATGAAAAAATTCAAGTATGTAATGTTTGATTATCGAGAATCTACAGACATTGAAGCATGCACGCTACCTTGAACACTTTACAGTCATTCCTCATGTACACAAAACTAATCTGACCAAGGTTCCCATGATGATACAATGATGCAATCGAATTCCAAGGGGCGTATGGCCCTGGAATTTACCGAGACTGCATTAATCACCAATGAAACTTTCACTAAACTTCACGGCACCAGACCGGAGAAGGCTGCTGGCATGTTAGCCGAAAATTTGCCTGTAATGATCCTACCTCTAGGGTAAGGATGGATCTGTGACCAAGTTGCAACTCTGAAGAGTTGTAATATTAGGTGTGCATAAACATCCAGATCAATCAAAGCAATGAGAATTTGCAACTCATTTCAACAGGAGGTTGCAATTCAGAGCAAGGTCGGTGACTCTGAAATCACATTTGGGCTCTGATGTTAGGAGGGAGGCTTTAAAAAAAAAAGGTTCATATTTTTTTTTGGTATGCTATATATATATTAGTTACTTTCCCAAATTTTCTGTTTCTTTAATTTTTATTTGACCAAATTTTTTGAAACTAATTCAGCATCCAATTCAGATATTTTGGATTTTGGACCTGAATAATTGAATATTTCAGAGACAAGTTCTTTCTAGATTGAAGTGAATTCACCTCTTCCATTTTTGTATAATACTTGCTTGATGCCCAGTAAGAGAAAGTTCTTTAAGAGCACTCTGGGATACAAGATTATAATCTCAATAATAATAATACAACTCATCATTCACATGTCACATTATCAGAATCAGTTTGACACCAGCTCATCAATATCTTGATCATTTTCTGCAGGAAAAAATATTTGAATGAAAATGAAATTTTGAAAGACATACAGAAACTTTTATTGAGCATTTAGTAGAAGGTTGTATAACAATCAAAAGTTGATGGTGTGGTAAAACATAGTTATATATGATTGAAAGTTTTTATTTCTTAGCAATGCATATTATCATAAGATACTTATTTTTATTAACAACAATAAATAGTTTCATCAGCTTGAAAAATATTTTTTTCATCAAATATAATATGGTTATTGCATTTTTTTAAAAAACAAAAAAATTAAAAATAAAGTAAAGGAAAAAACAAATCAATTATAGAAAAATATGAAAGCAAATTTGTTTATCTTCTTGGTCTTGGTTTAACAACCCATTTGTTTGGCTTTTTCCTAGTTTTTCCACCTTTAGCTAAAACACCCCAAGGACTAACAGGATGCCTATTTCCTTTACTTTTTCCTCTTCCACCACCATGAGGATGATCTACAGAATTCATTGCAACACCTCTTACAGTTGGTCTAATGCCTAACCATCTAGACCTTCCTGCTTTACCTAACATACGATGTTGATGATTTGGATTGGAAACTGTTCCAATTGTGGCACAGCAATTTACATGTATCAGACGAACCTCTCCTGATGAAAGACGTACTTGTGCAAATCCTTTTTCACCTGTACGTACAAGTTGTGCTGAACCTCCTGCTGAACGAACCATTTTTGCACCACCACTAGGTTTCAATCCTATACAATGTATTTTTGTGCCAACTGGAATCATTCTTAATGGCATACAATTGCCATTTTCTACAGATACAACACGAGTTATTGAATATGATGAATCTTGAGAATCATTATCATTGTCATTAATGGGTTGATTTAATGGATGATTACGATAAGATTGAAGGATGGCACCAGGCATTAGACCATCTGGTGCAATAATATAGTTATGTTCACCTGTTGTTGTATTCTTAAGTAGAGCCAAATGTGCCGATCGATTTGGATCATATTCTATTCTTATTACTTCTTGTGGACTTGGATCACTACGAATCCAATCAATTACACGAATTCGGCGTTTATGACCACCACCACGATGCCTTACAGTAATATGACCATGAAAATTACGTCCGCCTGATTGTCGTTTAGCCTTGGTGAGTTTTCTAATAGGTTTGCCTTTCCATAAATGATCATTAACAGGTCTTTTTAACCATCTTAAACCAGGAGTTCTTGGTTTATAAGTTTTAAATTGTCCCTCAATTCTAACATTGGGAGAGTGAGGCTTTTTTTTGCTTGAATAATAACGAAGTTTTACTGAATTGGTAATAAAGGATTCCTTTTCTTGATTTTGATATTTTAAAAGGCTACTATTATTACTATGTTTGCTTTTATTACCTAATGGAATTGGTGCAAACTTACCAAATGGATAACTAGTTGAATAGTAATTATTATAGAAAATCAATTTTTTGATAATATTTAAATCTTTTCTTTGTGACATATGACAATAAGAAATTAATTCATGATGATATTTAAAAATGGATCGATAAAATATCATTATTCTTATTCTTCTTATCAATAGTTTTTTTTTGTAGAAAAAAGATTGGGATGATCGCAAAATGTTGAGTTATGGAAAATGTAGCGTCGATCACAGCGATGGTCACAATAATCATAGACACCCAGTCCTACTTATTGTTCTTCTTCATATGGCAATTTGCATTGCACTGGTTGTGGTTATAGAAGATCAATAAAAATCAAAAGCCTTTTTATTATTTCATAATATATTTATTCTTTTTGAAATTTTCATGTTTATTCACCAAATCATAAAGTTCATTATTACCATTACCATATAAAGTTGATGGGTGACGAGATAAAGTGTGATACAATCGAATGAATATATATCGAGTCTATATTAAAAATCATTACATATAACAACAATAATTCTAATGCTACTCTATAAAATAACGACGGTTGATTCACATTCATCATATTAAATCTATAAATCAAATAAGGAACTATAAAATATCTAAATTCTAGTAACGGGGAAGGAATTAACAATAAACAAGCTGTCGTTGAATAAATCAGAATCCATATAAAGTTTGCCGTCATCAAAGAGGGAAATTTTCTATTCATTAGCGCCAAGTGTATCATATGGAATTTATATTTTCTGTATGCTTCCCATAAATCACATGTGTATCCTGTATGTTTCTGCATTAATATGACTTTGCTGACTTGTCATAGGTAGGGTTTCTATTCGAATAAGATTTATTTGAATGATTCGATTGATTCGTAATTAAATTTGAGCATTTGAATCACACTGAATGATTATTCGAGGATCGGATATTTGGTATTTGTTAAAAATAAAAACACTGATTCATAACAAATAAATTTCTTGAAACATTTACAAAAATTTACATATATAAAAAACAACATCATCATCTTAAAACTATACCAATAGTTCCATTAGCAATAATGATTATTCCTGGTGATCCAAATGACATCCTCACAAATCTTCACAAAACTTGGTCGCAATTCATACCAAAAGGTCAACATTATCATTTTTCTACACTGAAGTTATACCTAGGAAACTCATTGTTGTCTCCTTAAATACCTTGTATTTTTATAATCATATACAGTCATTGGTGATTGTAAAGTTAAGACTCAACCTGGCATTATTCAGTTTAGATGGTTGAACAAAGTTCTTAAAAAAGCTAGAAAGCATTGGTTACAACCTTTCCTTCTTTTATGTATGTTAATTAATAAAAGAACTCGAAATTCCATGTACTTGAAATAACTTTCAAATAAAAGAATAATTAAATAACCAAGCTATTAGCTGGTAAATAACATATTCACCCAATTTCTTTATTTTTATGATAAAATTTTCTTTCCAATTATTTTGAATTGAGAAATAACAACATGCTCAAACTTGGGAGCATCAAATGTGTTGCTTTCGTTACTGGTGAGCTTAGAGTATCAAATTTATCAAAGAAAATATCTGAAAAATATTTCGTATTGTTAGAAAAGTTCCAGGTTATCAACACGAGGTCCCCATGTTGATCATGACATATATTCTCGACTAAAAAGGTTAATTTGTCATATAAAAGTCGACTGTATAATTTATTAGAAACAAATGTACAAAAAAATTTACAAAGATTGCGAGCAACAATTATAATGACTTGCTAATACACTGAAAATCTATGCCTAAACCCAAGCTGTCATTCATGAAAATATCAATGCGGATTATACTGTTGCAAATTTTATAAACATTATTTTTGTGTAAGGGTGGATGGACTGACTTCATCACACTGCTTGTCTGCATTAATGGATGAGAGACACTATAAAATCAGGTCCCTTCAATTTGATTTTTTTTTACTTTCATCACAAGCAGTGCTCGACCGCTCAACAAGGAATTATGGAAATTTTAGAGTGTATATACCGTGTAACATAATTTCTAGAGTTATCAATATTAATAATAATAATTTTGGGAAAGAAATAAACAGGAAAATATATTTCAAATTCCAATTTAAGTTTCGTAACTCGAATAAGATTCGAATTAATCGGATTTATATAAATTTTATAAATATTTATTATTAATCTAAATATACATATACCATTTATATTTATATCCAATTCCAAACAACTATCTTACCATTTCCTAAACTAGCAGCAATTTTGGATCCATTCATATTCCAAGCCAAATCAATAATGGAAAATGGTGCACAGCAAGACATTTCCTTATTTTTTAACGAAAGAAACCTGGCAGTTGAATCAGTTGAACCATATGCTAGCCATTCACCTTTTGGATGCCAGGTAATAGACTTGATCGGTTTAGATAGTTGATCAGTAATGTGCAAAAATTGTCCATTAATTGCATTCCAAATACTTATTTGTTCATCTTTTGTCGATATTGCAAGAATTGCTGCTGAATTTTTACTGGATATACAAGGTGACCAACTTAATAAATTTATACCACTTTTGTGTTGAAGTACATGAAGTGGTTCCTTGTGATTATCAGTCCAAATCTTTTTTTTTATATATAATGGGAAGTGATAAAGATATTTTTTTTAGACATATGTGTGTTTGTTAAAATAATTTTCTTATATAATACATACTCTAACTGTTTTATCAGCAGATCCTGATGCAAGATATTTTTTAGAAGGATCCCATGCTAAGCAAAAAATCTTATCCTCATGACCGAGATATTGTTCAATCGGATTTTCTTTTGTAATATCATAGATGTATATTGATTTGTCATATGAACATGATGCAAAAATCATATCATTTTTCCATACTAAATCTGTTATTGTTTCTATATATATGTGCGAGTGTGTGTGTGAAGGAATAATAAATAAATCAATAAATAATTATTTGTAAATATAAATAAATAAATATTATACTAACCTTTATGTAAACAATAACTTTTTTTTATAGTTGTAGAATAGGCTTCCCATAAAATAATAATTTTATCACAACCGGCAGTAATAATTAAAGATCCTGATGGGTTCCATTTTATTCTGGTAACAGAATTTTTATTAAAATCTAATATTGTTTTTAAACAACCTCGATCTGTCCAAATTTTGGGTACACCTCTAAAATATGATGCTGCTATAAGTTTACCATTTGGCTACAATAATAATAATAAAAGCTTTCTTAATAATATTGTATAAATGTTAATTTGAAACAAAATTTTTAAATGTTTCTCTGAATGCTTACACTCCAATCTACTGAACATATAAAATTATCATAGTAAAACTCGTCATTTCCCATTTTTAAAGCATCAGTAAAATTTCCTTGATGATCGGTTTTCCAGATTCTCAAAACAGAATCACGACCTCTAAATTAACAATTAACTTATTAATAAACATTTAAAATAAATAAATCACATAATAATGTAAGAAAACTCACGCGGTAGCCAAGACATTTGGATCATTAGGATGCCATTTACAAAAATAAACTTCGCCAACATGCCCTTCAAGTGTTGTATATTCATCATCAATTAATGGTTTTATTATTTCTTTTATAATAGGTAAAAAATTATTATTGAATTATACACTTGGCGAGAAGAAATAAAATAATAAAAACCATACATACCAGTTGATGAAGTTGTTGTTGTTTCATTAATGGAATGTCTTGTTATTGGGATTTCATTGTTTATATTGATAGGGTCTTGTAATGAAGGCAAAGAATCTTGATCCTTTTTAGTTTTTGAAGTTAATACTTTACGTATTGATCTTTTAGAAACTAAAAAAAATCAAACAAATATTATTATTTTGCATGATCCAATTATTCATAGTAATAATTATTCTTACTTGAAGTAATTTTATTTAATTCTCCTTGAGATTTTTTTACTAATTCAGGTGAATCTATTGAATCTATTTGATTTTTGTTAGATTTAATTTGTTTTTGTGCAACTTTTTTGCCTGCTAATAACAATGATTGAAAACGATAATGATGGATTTGATTTAATATTTATATAAGGTATATATATATATATAACACAATAGTAGATTTATTATTATATCAAACTGCTGCAATGTAATGATTACATTGATTTTTTGCTAAGTCCTTTTGAGATTGTTGTTTAGCTAAATCATCATTTAAATTTTGATTTGCTTCATTTGTTTTATAAGAATTAGGTATTGGAGTGGTGATGACTAGTGGTTCATGATCCATGGATCTTTTACAAGCATGTTTACCAATCAAAGGCACAATTGCTTCACAGTTAGTTATGGTACCGTCCTAACAATAGAATTAAAAGCATATATGCATAAATAAATAAATAAAAATATATATATATTAAAACTAATTTTTTTATTCTTACTGGATTAGAATGTACTTCTATATCCCGATATTGTAAACCTTTTAAAATATAAGTTATTAATGCACCACGTTGAACATCTTCTGGATTAATGTCTAGCTTGTCAATTTGTGTTTCAGTTTTAAAAGCAAGAGTTGTTAATTTGAAACCTAGTTGGTATCAAGTATATTTTATTATATATGAGTTATTTTTTACAAAAAAGTAAAGATAGATAGATAATCTTGATTCCTTCCAATCAATCAAACAATATTTTAACATTAACCTGATTCTTCTAAATATCTATAGATAAGATAATTAAGTTCTTGTGCTGTGAATTTTACAGACATTTATTTATAAAACTTTCTAAAAAAAAATAGTTATTTGTAGATGTCGATCACATTAGGCACGTTTTCCCATTTTGATCTACACACTTTATTACTACATATTGTGGATCACGAATTAATAAAATACAAGTACACAAATACACAAATCACATCCAGATTGCATATCATACAAGTGGAATATTAAAGAAGAGGTTTCTAAATCAAAAGGCTTAAAAAGTTATACAAGTAATGGTATTTCGTTAAATAACCTTGATTTCAACTCTATTCTCTTAAATGTTGATTTTGATAATGTGAATAAAAATTTCATTATTAATTAATTGGAAATTATCATACATTAATTATTACTAATAAAACATTTATTATTTGCTTAAAAGGATTGATGATTTTATTGCATCAATTATACGGGTACGTATTACTTTACCGACAACACGCAGTGCACCATTTTAGCATTTCATTAGTTGTTTGATTATGTGGAGGTTAAATGTAACCCCCAAGTTGTCAGTATAATGAACTGTCGGTAAAATGATTGTCGGTAAAATGAATGCCTCCCAATTATACTTTATAATATATTATATATTTACTCTATTGTTAAATTTAAATCAATAAAAGGAATTTTGCATCTATATCAAATGAACTAACTACATATGTAAACTCGATAAGTCGGTCATGTCGGGGCGGACCCTGTGACCGACTTATCAAGAGAACCGAGTTATCGAATTTCACGTGATTTTTTAATTTTTTAATTCATCTTTTTATTTCAAACATTAGAAGGTTGCGAAATCAACCTTTTTATACATATTTCTGAACATAATAAAATTTAATAGGAATACAAATGTATTTCTTCACACTAGATAATCAATGATATAAGTAATGATATAAAAATGATGATATAAAAATGAGATAAAAAAACGTAGATGTTCTCTAAATTCTTGATGATATAACTGATGAGATAAATAATATATTAATGCATTATTCATGATAAATGTATGATACAATCGATGAGATAACAAAATATTAATGCATCACTCATGATAAATCATCAAATGATTAAAGCGAAAAAAGATCTCTTTTTAAAATTACTTGACAAGAAAAAATGGATGTGATTATGCATTATAACTGATGGAGGTAATAAAATATAAATGTAGTTCACAAGTGAGGATGCTCTTTTCCTTCTAAATTATAAAATGAACAATAAAGATAGTTTTTTTACATCAGATATTTTATTACAAATAATCATTTTGCTAATACTAATGACAAATAAAAATTATTAAATCACACATTACGAAAATAGTAATTATGACCCTTCACATGAGACCGACTTATCGTGATTCATTTAATTATACTTGGGCTAAGTGATTGACCGACTTAGCGCTTATCGCGCGACTTTATATATATTGACCAACTTATCAAATAGTAAAAAAAAGGGGAGAAACTTTTTGGCCGAGCAGTTTATGTCATTCAGTGCAATATAAAAGTAACCTTACTTTCAAAGATATAGATCTCCTAAAATTTTTTGATAGCTTATGAATGACCTTAGCTTTAAAACTTACGGATTAGAATTTTTTTAATATTTACATAAAAATCTCGTATAAATTATTATTTAAGTAAAGATCAGCGGTTTATGCCAAATTCTTGTTTAATATTAATCATTCCTTTTGGGTTCATTCTGCTTTTTTAAACAATAATGTTGTTCATAGTTTAACGTGACTTTCTTCGTTGTTAACAATTATAGATATAATAAAGTATAATAATAATGTTTATTAAATTCAATTTTATTATGAAACGTAGGCTATGAAAATTTTTTACAGCATAAAAAATCATGCATGATTGTACATTGGACAACCACGCGAAATCATTGGTCCCTGATGCGAATGTAATTCGATTGTGCCATGTGATTTATAGTAATAAATACGTGTTTATACTTTGAACAAATCAAAAAAAAAAATTTTTCGATCATGTATTTTGATTTACTAAGAGAAGAAGAAATGACGATGACAACTCGAGATTCTATGAATTTTTTATTATCAACAACTCTAACTTCAAATAAAAACACAAACAATAATATTCTATGTAGATTTGGAGAAAATTGTGCTAATGTTAATTGTATATTTGCACATTTAAGCCCTGCAACGTTTGGTATAACTGGCTCATCAATAAATAAATACAATATTGTTGTTATTGATTCACCTTGTAAATTTGGAAGTTATTGCACAAATCCAAAATGTCGATATTCACATCCCTCCCCTGCTTCATGTAAAGTTTTTTTTTAGAAAAAAATATTTACAAATATATATGTATATATATATATATATATACTTATTTACTCTGTTGATACTGTTTAGTAATATCACAAGAACCGTGTAGATTTTATCCAAATTGTCAAAATCTAGCATGTCCTTATTTACATATTGATTATTATAGGTTTGTATTATTATCATCATTTTAGATTTTTATTATTATTACTTTTTATTAACGAATATGATAATGTTGCTTACTTTAGTGGTATTAATAATAATAAGTTACCAATACCTTGCCGCAACGGAAATAATTGTGTAAGACCTGGATGTTATTTTCTTCATTCATGGGATATGGAGACAGATATACCAGTTAGTAATCAAGTTTCTTATGGACGTAAATTTTTTAAATGACTTAAACCTTCACTAAGTTTATCATTATTATTTCAATTGCATATTAAAATGATATTAGTGCAAATTTGGATATAATTGTAAAAGGGTAGATTGTATGTACGATCATCCAATGGGTAAGAAGGAATTGTTGACATATATTTCAGAAAGAGCATTTGCATTACCAGGACAAATGACGGAGGGTTTACCAAATAGTAGTAATAATGATGTAACCAAAGACATTGGATATCAAGAAAAAATATCGAATCAATTAAATGATAATAATAAGAGTAATGATGATGATAATATGTTTCAAGAGAATAGAAATGTTATATTTACAATAAGTAATAATAACAACGATTTTAGCGAGACAGACTCAGTAATTATTAATAATAATCAAAGAGAAAGTAAAGGGGATGAAACAGGATATCAGCAAGAGCATTACAATACATTACAGTCTAGGATGAACGAATGCAATGATAATGAGGAAGAATATGTTTTAGATTTGGATTTTGATGAGTAATCTTTAATTAATAATTGAGCAAATTTTAAGATTTGTATGAAAAATAATTCCTAATGATATATATATAGTATATAAATACCTTAGCTATAACTAATAATAATTTCTTTAAGCTGTATGCTTTTTTTTATGTTTAAAATTTAAATTATATAATCATGAAAAAGAATAATAAAAAAGCAAACTAGCAGATAACCAATCAGCGTTAAATATTATTTGTATATTTCTATGTCCAATTTTGAAACAGAGAGTTCAAATTCAAAAACGCAATAATATTCTTGATGCCACATTCCCAGTTAAAATTATCGATTTTCTCAAGATTATGGAATCATTATAAAAAAACCATTAAATAAAAGTTTTATTGATTTTTTAACAGCTTTAGTAAATTTATTGTGATTAGGGATGGGAAATTGCATGAAAATTTCAAATTTCACGCGCACTGCATCTGCCGATCTTTTTTATTTTTTTAAAAAAAACAGATTAATCAATAATATTAGTCACTGATTCAGATATACATCACTATCATCATTTTCACTTCAATAACATCATTATCATTACCAGTATCATAGTGTTTCCATTGACATTATCTTTTAATTTATTTTGATATTTTTGATTTTTGTAATTATTAAAATAAATAAACACTAATTTGAAAAACGTTAGTCTATTTCCTTTTTTATCATGTATACATGAGAATGCAGACCAATTTCTTTCAGGTGCTGCTGAAGATGTAGGATTGAAAGATATTTGTACAGCAAGATTAGTCAGTTCAGAGGCAACTAATGAAAAATTCCCTTTCCACCATGTTACCAAATCTGTTTCATCTATAGTTGACCATGCTAAAGAATCATCAAACAAGCTAGTATGTTATGCGCATGATTTTAAAAATTACGTGCGCATTGGAACATCTCTAAAAATACCAAATATAGCATCAGTGAAAATTTAAAAATCAAAAGGCTTTATTTTTTTTTTGTATCATTTTAAATGATAACTAACGATCAAAAGTAGGGTTGTCGTTATTCATAGTTTTCAATGAATATTTACATCCGTCACAGAGATCGGGTAGACAAAAAAATCTGACTAACATTCATAGAGGTTATGAATCATCAAAAGGAAATAGTCGTTGTCGTTATTATGATAGCAATAGCAGTAGCAGCAACAATGGTGGTGGAAACCTAATAATATTCGTCATCATAATCATGTTGCGTGCTTAGATACGTTGCCCACAGCAATAAGAATTATGCAATCTGCTAATAAAGAGTCACTAGTATTAGTTATATGTCTATAGACAATAATACAGAATGGAATAATATCATTACTAAATCTGAGTCCTTGACAAAAAATCAGATTTTTTGATTACAAACAAGGTGTTTTTGTTAATAGATGTTTAGCTCGTTTCCTTTCAAATGATATTTTTACTGCGCTCATAAAGAAGATATCTGTCATTTTAATAATGTCACGACTTTTTGCAAAACAGATTTATTAAAAAATCGTTGCTATAATTGCACGTAATTAATCAATTGATTACAATCTTTATATTATATGGAGTTGAGAAAATTTTCTCTCCCCAAGAACATGTTAAAAGAAAGGCACTCTACAAAAATGATATCAACAAATAAATAATAAGGTAACTGTAAATGCACGTGTGAACTCTTTTCTTTATCTATAGGAACTACTGCGCTTGAAGCTATATATATTTTATAATCGGACTTTTTTGAACAAGGGATTTTTCATCATTAATAAGCAAGGTTGAATCAGAAATCTTTTTTATTCGCGAACAACGAAGAAAGAACAATCCCCAAAAAAAAAAATTTCTATCAAAAAGACAAACAAATGGATGATGATGATATTATAAAGTAAAACAATAGTACTCAAAAAAACAATTTTTATATATTATTTATTATACCAATTAAATTTTTTATAAATATAAATATATATATATATATATATATGAATTTTGGATACTGAAATTAAATAATAAATAAAATATAATAAATGCTTTTGCATGAATGAAGGCGAAGGTGATGATGGTGAATTAAGAAGAAGAGAATAAAATGGTAATATGTATATAGATAGATGCACAAAAAAAATAAATACACAAATATAATAAATTATAAATTACAAAAATTAAATCATACAATAAATAAAAATATTAAAGTTTCTTTCATTATAATTTTTTCAAAACATTTTCTATTGTTAAAAAAAAAAAGAAAAGAGATCAATCAATTTTTATTTATTATCATATATATTTTTAATATTTTAAAAAAATCATTCTTACCATAAACATGTGGAAGATGATCAGTCATCATTTGTGGAGTAAACCATATTTCATCAAAAATATTTTCAACATTATTAATCTCCAACATATTATATAATCCATTTTTCTCAAAAAATATCTCTTCGTCAGGGCCATCTTCAACGCCACCCTCCTTTTCCTTTTTCTGTTCCTTTTCTATTTTACGCTTCTTGTCATGTTCATCATGACCACTGACAATCTCTTCACTGGCATTACAATATGGTGCTCTTTTACTATCAATAATCCAATATACTTTACCAGGAGGATATAATTTAACATTTTTCATATGTGAACGGATTTCTTCTCTAACATTCCAAAAGAATTGTTCAAATTCACGTTTAATAACCATGCTCTTTTCATCGTTCTCTGAAAACGTCCTAGATTTGTAATCCAAAAATTTCCTAAACACCTTACTAGCCAGTTCATGATTTTCTTCGGGTATAACTTCTTGATCTGCTTCAACTTTTGACGGAGATGGCGTTTTAGGAGTGGTTGATGCATTTGCGCTGCCCAAATATCGTACTACACCACGTAAATCTTTTACATGACCTAAACTCAATCTACATACAACATCATTACCATAAGCTACAGATGTTACTAAAGTTTTTGCTTTTTTAGATAAGTCAATCGACATCACACACGGCGTGGCAAATACATAACAATGTACTCTACGGCCTAAAGGCAAACCACTCCATCTAGTTGTCATACGTGTAGTAGGTGACGCCAACAATAATGTTAATAAACTCGCAACACCAGCGCCAAGTGAATGGCCAACCAAGACCAAACCATAACCATCATTCTGTTGCAATTCCCTTTTTAATGCTTCAAAAACACCTACTTTTCCAGGTTTAACTAAACTCTTTGCCACTTGGAACATTCCTTTGTGCACATAATGTATTGTATTGTCACCTTTTTGGATATCTTCGGGTAATTGGAATTTTTCATACTCGCAAGTCAAATCAACAATCAAGTCGTGTATTGACATTGTACCACGTAATGCTAAAATTATTGACTGAGTTGTATGATCTCTTATTAGGAAATACGTTGGTTGATACATTGAACTGTTGACGGTCGAGTTTTTTTGATGAGAAGTATCGACTATGGAATCCAGTGGCAGCTCGCTTGATCTAGCAAATGTAAACCTGTGAAGTGTGCCCTTACCAGTATACCTACGCTTCAATAATGGAAAATTACCAATTATTGCAGTTTTAAAATCGTAGGCAGACGAAGAAAATTTCGAGTATCTTTTGAGATTGTGAAGCACAGAAAACAATTTTTCTTCTTCAGTTTGATTTTCGTATTCGTCTAAATAAGGATTACTGTAACGTTTGGTTGTTTCTAAAAATAGATTACTCAAACGTTTTGTACGTTCATCATTCATCGAAAAACTAAACTCTGGTATTTCGTCACGGGGTGTGAGTTCACCAACCACAATTTTACTTGATTTATTAGATGTTATAACCACCATTTCTTCCTCCTCGTCATCCACCATCAACCATTCCAAGTCCTCATAAATTGTGTCGTCATGGCTAATTTCTACCCAGCCATTACATATATCCCATAAATCAACCAGTTTAACTCTCTTCCACCCACACAATTCATTCTCATACTTTTCATTAGTTATATATTGTAAACAAGCCCAAGCTGTTAAGGACTTGATGACTCGGAAAGCACCAAAAGTTTCGAGTTTCTCCAAATGATCATCATCATTAGCATTCCATTCTCTTTTTACAAGTTGAACGAATTCGGCCAAAGCCTTAGCAGCATCAGTTGTACCAAACAAAGCATAGATAATTGATATGCTTTCGGTGGCAGTTCCCAGCGCATATTGTAGTGTCGTAGAAGTTTTATCTAGACCTGCTAGTGTAACTTGTTCGGTCAATGAAAGAGTACGGTGTAATAACGTTGTTGTCGCATCAATAATTCTAGGAAGAAAATATACACTTTTTGTTTTTAATAAATTTAAAATATATAATGGGCATCATATAAACGAATGGATGGACGAATGGATGGACGAATGGATGGACGAATGAATGGATGGACGAATGAATGGATGGATGTCATGTCATGGTGAAAAATTGGAGGAGGAAAAATCGGAAGAGATTGTCAGATATGTATATATAGATTTATATGTATTTATGATATGTGTAGAAAACAATTAGGATTATTATTTGTGATTCTACAGATTAATAGGTTAATATGTTTATTTACATGCACACGCATATATGTATACATACACATACATATATTAATTAATTAAAATTTTTTTTACCTTAATTGACCATCCCTTGTTGCAGCCTGTAAAATTCTATTAGACATAACTGTGGTCATGGCACGCGCAATTCCCAAGCCAGCTTTGGTAGAAATTTTGCATGTTTCTAAAGCGAATCTAGTTAAAATTCCTGCTAAATCTAAACTCACTCTTGATATAGCTGAAATGTTAGATAGGCTTAAAGATAAATCTAGTTGAGATTTACTAATTAAACTAACAGTTTGATCTGTAATCTCTTCTTCAACCTCTTCCAAATCATTGTTTAAAGATAGAGGTTCAATTGATAGGTTATTAGGTCTTCTCCTATTTCTTACAGGAAAAGAAAGTCGAGGAGTTGCTTGGGAAGAGGTTATAATTTCTTGGGAAAATTTTGCAAAAGAATCATTACTATAGTCTCTTGGTTTATTATCAACCTCAACCTCAACCTCCTCCTCATCGGTATTATTATTGTTATTGTTGTTTGAGTCTTCTTCATAAAAACTAAGATTTATTTCAGGAAAATTTTGTTCTTCTTGTTCATTATTATTATCGTTGTTGTTGTTGTTGTATTTTCCCATTTTATTATGATTATTGTTTAAAAAAAAATAATTGTCTTTTAATCAAATAGTGATGTCGTATATTAGCCTTTTTTTCTTGTTATAATAATAATAATGTCTGAAAGTAATATTTGTGGAAAATTGAAATGGGAGTTTATTTTTTTATTTTTGGTATTTTTTTCCCTTTTCCTTAATTTTTTTATTTTACTGTATATATAATTTGAAACATGATAAATCCATTTATAGATTTACAGTACCCCTACTTTTTTTTACTAACACAAATAAAAAAAAATAAAAATATAGAATTCCTTTTTTTATATTAAAATCATATGTACATTTACGTAGTTATGGAGTGTAGTGTAACATCAGTAACAATTATTTGGAGAAATTGTGGAGTTCTCTTGGGGTGTGCATATTGTTGCATTCATTCATTTTTAATAATATTACAACTTTTTTAATTTCTTCAGAACAATTAAAATTGAATTTTAATAAAAATCGATAAAATTAATGATTTTAAAGTTGCATACAGCATCGATATATATATACACACATCAATTCAAATTATTCCAAGTTTATTGATTAGGTCATTTTTTTATTACATAATAATAATAATCCTATATTTATGCATTTTGATTATCAAGAATTTCCGAATGTATTAATTAATATTAGATGAGGCATTTTGGCTATTTTTTCGTCTATCATTAATAGGGGAAAAAACGCCCATTTTCTTATAAATGCACTTGCTTGTCTACGTAAATAAAAAAAGGAATAACTAAAAATTTTTAATATAACTTTGACTGTTTAGACTACACCCTCTCACTCATCATCTTATTAATAATCGATACGGTGCCAAAAAACAGATAGACTACGATAGTATTTGGTGTTAGTTCGTATAAAAGAATTACATCATTTATTTATATGCTAAATAGCTAAGTAACCAAAGTTGGAATTGATTGTCACGATCAATTCAAGATTTCGTAGAAAAAAAATTTTATTTTATAAAAAATACTTTACACAATATATATATACGCGTGTCTAGTGTAGAAACACCGTCATGATAAAATGTAAATCCACTATTCTGATATAACAACGATAATAATAATTACAATGGAGTATAAAACAAATAACTAATACTTTCACCATTATGGGTTCTTCTAATTGCTTCAGCTAAAGTAGCTGATACATCAATTATAACAAGTTTAGAACTTTTAAGTAGTTTCTCTTGTGGAACTGGGAACGAGTTTGTGATCACCAACTTTTTTAATTAGAAAAATTGCGACGAGTGAATTTATTATTAATATTATTATAGATGATTTCCTCAAAAAAATAAAAAAAATAAATATAATTATTATTTACCTGATATATGCTTTTACATTTCTCTATTTCATTTAAACTGTCACCACTCAAGATTCCATGAGTTGCAATCACATAAACTCTTTTAGCATTACATTTCATCATTAAATGCTCAGCTGCCGCTATAAAAGATCCTGCTTTATCAATCATGTCATCCTAAATAATTAAACAAATAATTCGCTATAAGCCATACCATAATTATGTTATTGATGATAATTGACAGAATAATGATGAAAACAGTTTTTACAATTATGAAAGCAACTTTCCCAGCCACATCACCCACAAGTGTAATTGTACTACTATTGCAAACACTACAGCCGCTAGTACTACCATTATGATTATTGATGCTTGATGTTGATGCTGTTAAATCAACTTCATCCATTGAAAGAATTTCTCCTGTTACTGAAGTTCCAGAACTCTTGACAGGAGCATATTCACCATCATCGCCATCATCTTCATCATCGACTGATAATCTTCCATCAATAATTGCAGTCGTTATATGATCACTGGTTGTGTTAGATGTATGATAACAATATCCTTTATTAATACCACTGCTATTAATATAACCATTACTAATAATGCTACTATTATTACCATCATCATCATTACCATCATTACCATCATCATCATCATCAACATCATCATCATCACCGTTGGATTGATTTTCTGATTTTTCTAATGGTTCATTATTAATTGGCGATTCAAGATTCGTTGATGATGATAATGAATCAGGCCGACTATTATGATGATGGTGTCTGCCTCTCGTTCTATCAGTATGAATAAGTGCAAAGTCAATCTTAAGTCGATCAGCAAGTGATGTCACCCTAAATTCAAGAAAAGAGTTTAACATAAAGAATAAGGGAAGAGAAGGGAATGGTGAAGATGGAAAAATAGAACCTTTTAGCGCCACCAGCATTTTTACTAACAACAACTCCATTAGTAATATATTCTGGTACCGAGTCTCTGATCCATTTAGCTATGCTTGGTTCTGCAAACAGATTATCAACTGGTTTATTGAAAAATCCTTGCATTTGTGAAGCGTGAAGGTCCATCGTAATAATATGATCAACACCAGCAACTGAAAGGAGATTGGCAACCACTATGAATTTTTTTAAAGGATATATAATGAATTTAAATTAATTGGCAAAGATAAAACAATACATGATTCACTGAATGATGTAAATACTTTTTGCTGTTATAGCTCCACGATGGTTTTTCTTTTTACTTTGTTTTGAGTAAGGAAAATATGGCATAACAGCTGAAGAATTAAAAATGATTTTATAATGTGTAAATATATTGCAGATAAATATGATAAAATTCAAAAATTCATTGGCAAATAATTTTATTTATTTTCTGTTTACCAGTGATTCTACTTGCAGATGCACCTTTACAAGCTGATATCATAATCAACAATTCCATCAAATGATCATTAATATGCGTAGAACCAGATTGAATAACAAAAACATCTTCATTACGAACAGAACAACCTAAACAAAAAAGAAAAACCTCGAGAAGATTTAAAAAATCGATACGTTTGATCAATAATCAATATTTATCGTTTGTTTAACTTTGAAATTTTTAAAATTATTACCAATTTCAACAGAAGTTTCTCTGTTACTAAATTCCTTTAAAGTGACTGGCGAGGGTGAAATTCCAAGTTTTTCACAAATGTGATCAGAAAGTTCTGGATGAGAAGAGCCAGAAAATACTTTTGCTCTTCGCATTTTCCAAATTATTATTAGTATAGTATTTAACTGTATACCGTAAACTTTTTTTTTAAAAAGAAAAAAAATTTGATTTTTTTTTTTTTGATTATGATTGCTATATAGATCGACAACATTTATTATTAATTCGCAAATCATTTATAGATACATATAAGATCGGCAGGCTAAGATAACATAGTAATATTAATAGTAAATTAATTATGTGGAGGTTCACATCGTTCATAAACGTATGTCATGGTGTATGCTAAAAGAGTAGTTTTATTTAGAAAAAATTTATAGAAAATCGATACCTCTATAAATTTTTTATTAAAAAATTTTTTTCCATGTTTTGGGGTGGCGCAAAAAAGAAAAAAGGGCACTCACGTGACTCTGTCACATAATGCAAAAACTAAAGCTTTGGTTGTTTGCAATAACTAAAGAGCATGTATAGTAAAAATATGGCAAGGAATTTTTTGTTATAACACAAAAGTCTGTTTCATAGGCAAAATTTCGGGATACAAGCATTTTTTTAAAAAACAGTTTTTATTTTTTTGCACAAAAGGTACTCTAATTTTCTGGTTTTTTCCGGCAGAACTCTCATTTTTCCGATTTTCCGACAAATTTTTTTATGGTAGTAATAGTAATACAGTCAGAATCCTATATAGTAGGGTTGTTAAATGGAGCATAATGTTCTGGTATCAACCCGGATGAATGGAAAGAGAATTTATTCTTTATATGCAGTCAAAGTTCGTTATAGTAGACACTTGGTTTGTCTACTATAACGAATCCCATTATAAAGAAAAATCTCTTTATAATAGACTTATTACAGTATTTAATCACTGTAATGAACCAATAAAATAATTGACTCGCGGAAAATATCTCAAACAACGGAAATTCTAAAATGGAACAGAAGTTAAATGAATAATATCACTTTAGAAATAACTTGAAAACAATTCTACACGGAAAATTCAAATACTGTTTAAGAAATACATTTCATTAGAATAAATCAGGATTTCGAAGAAATCGGAGAACTAGATGATAGAACCTTTAACTTCACATATCATCCTTATCATCATTATATATTAATAATAATCACAAAAATCATTTAATAAATAACAAACTGTACCTATCCTTGTCCTTGTTTTTGTCTTCGAATTTTATATTTCGTAATGATAATAAAAATCTATCTTTAACAATGAACTCATACTAATCCCGTGCATAATAAATTTTCTCTGATTTTATATTTGTCTTATTTTTATTACTATTATTTATTTCTTTTATTTTCTTTTAGTGAGGTAATATTGAATAAATTTTATTTAGTGAGTTTGGGTAACGTACCTGACTTGAGTAGGGAGTGACAACTAAAAGGGGCACCCACCAAGAAACATGATCAGAATACAGTGTGAAATTATTGTTTAGTATTGCTTAGCAAGGAATTGATTAACGATAGGGAAAGATAGTTTTGAGAGTAAAGCATAAATATAGATTCGCGGAAATTGTTGTTGTGATTTAGTATAAATAAATTGGAAGAAGTTGTAATAGCATTTTATTGGCATTAAATAAATAAATAATCACCTTCGAGACACAATCTCGCAGTATTAAATTTTCTGCCTCTACTCTCAAGTAAGACTCCGAGTTATTAATATTTAATTGCCCGATTGATTAATTAATTCATTAGAATTGGATCGATAAAAACAATTCACTTAGTCAAAAGGTAACATTATTTAGATTTTTATGTTAATCTTTTCTTTAAAATATATACAGTATATAAATGATAAAATATTAAATGTAGAATGCGAATATAAAAGATTAATAGAAATACGAATATTGTTAAAACAAAAGAGGCTAGGTCATATGTCCGACATACGATTAGACAACACCCCGATTAATCCATTAAAGTTTCACCTACAGTCTAGGAGCTTCGCCCAGAGTTTAGGGCAACTTTTAAGTTTCATCACTAGTTAAGGCCTAAATTCCTAATTTCTGCGGGCGAAACTATTTCGAATTTGCTAAAATAATTTCGGTCACCATCATTAAAATACATCAGATGACTTTTGGTAAAAGTAATGGATGGAATTTAATATTTCGAATATCTTGAAATAGTAATAGTCGTAAATAGTCATAAACATTTCAAACAATCATAAACATTTCGAATATTCGAATATCAATTATGAATATTCAAATATCATTTTTATTTTGATCAGAACCAAGCAAAAACTTTATTTATTTATAAAAATTAATAATAAATGATATACAGAAAAATCAATCCCCATAAAGAGAAAACCATAGTTAAAAGGCAATAAAAAACAGTCGAGATTTTTTTATTTCATCCTTTTTAAGAAACTTTGTACAGTCAAACCTTGTCATAACGAATTTCGAACTAGTACAAATTTAGAAGGTATCTGCAGAAATATCCAATCAAATACAATATTTCTGCAGATACCTTCTAACTTTGTACTAGTTCGAAATTCGTTATGACAAGGTTTGACTGTACAACAACCTATTTCTAAATTTGACAGGATGACGCGTGGTTACCTTACTTTTCTTTCAAAAAAAAATTTTTCGTCTTTAAATAAATAAATAATTCTTATGAATGTGAATTAGTGAATTAATGAATCATAATCAATTATAAACTGATTAATTTATCTTTTATAATTTATAAACCTATACAATTTTTCTTGAATGTGTTATGGCTAGAACACAACCACAAGCAAAGCGTAGACCAGCTGCAGTAAAAAAATTACCAAGACAGATTACTCCATCAACAAGTTCACCTGTTGCTATAAAAACTAGACGTAAAAAATTTTTTTTATGGTTTTATAACATTGAAACTTGAGAAAATTTATAATTTGCTATAAATCAATTAAATATATGTGTGTGTGTGTGGAGGAATAATTAAATAATATTTTATTACTATTTTTATAAAATAAAAAGCTGGTGATCCCATAAGACCATCAAAACCAAGAAGATACAAACCTGGTACAGTAGCTTTAAGGGAAATCAGACAGTATCAAAGAACAACAAATCTCCTCCTCAGAAAACTGCCTTTTTCTAGAGTGGTTAGTGATCAGAATAATATAATTAAAAAATAAATTTAATAATAATTGATATATATATGTAGGTTCGAGAGGTTGCCATGGAAATACTTCAGCCAGATTCTCAGGTAGGATTTAGATGGCAATCCACGGCTATTTTGGCACTTCAAGAAGGTAAATTATTTATTTTACTGTTAATTGGAATTCTTTGTGTGTATGTGAATATATAATTAAAAATTTTTTTTTAAATAGCCACTGAAGCATTTTTGATTCATTTATTTGAGGATGCGTATGTTTTAATTAAAATTTTAATCTATAAATAATAATATTATTTTTAATAATAATAATATAATAAAAACAACGTCCTTCTGATTACTAATTAGAAATTTATGTGCCATCCATGCTAAACGAATTACATTAATGCAAAAAGATATTCAGTTGGCCAGAAGAATTAGAGGAGTATGGGGAGGACTTGGATAGTTAGCATGATGTTTGATACAAAATATTAGGAATTATTGTTAATAATTGAGAATCTCTATATTTGAATGAAATTAATTTCAAAAAAACTTTTTTAAATCAAATTATAATAATTAGTCTTTATATGATATATATTTGCAGAAAATGTACAATAGAATTATCATATTAATATTTATAATAAAGCAAAATGAAAAAAAAATTTTTTCCTTTAAAATTGATCAACCACTAAGCATATAATAATTAGATGATGATGAATGGAAGATCAATCAATCATTGTTATTATAATTGAGTAAACAAATGATAATAAAAGGCCATGCATACTTCTTTTTATCAATCAATTTTCTCATTTATTTTATATATGGGTATGCTGCAACAAAACCAGACAAAGTGAACATTGGTACTACCAAGAATTTTAGGGATCAATGTTTGTTTAATATCACAATTGTATTACAATGTAATTTGTCTAGACAAAAATAGTTAATATGAAACTCATTTACATCAGGTCTACTATGGAACCCAAAAATTATAGCACCATTAGAAGTATTTTGAAAAAGGAACAAGGTGAGAAAATTGCTCCTTACATTTTTAAATTAGCAAATACCAAATCTTTGCAAACATATTAAACAAAGAAAGAATTACCTATGAAATTTATCAAGAGGAAAGAGTTTTCAAAAGAGTATTAGAGAATTCTAGTAAAGAATCAAGAAAAAA